AAGAATTATATGCATCTGTTGCAACTCACCTACAAATCCCACTTAAAGATGGAGAAACTGCTCTCATTGGTACCAAGGACACAGCTAGGAATAGATCTCATTCATAACTCAGGGTCTGGATATATACATAACTACCAAATTCCATTATTAAACTGCCAAGCCACCGAGTTATGAATGAGATCCATTCCTAACTGTGTCTTTAAGGGATACAGGGATATTACATTGTGAGGATTATAATCAATAACATGAAACAAAATGTTATGAATTATTGAATAAGAAACTAATTTACATTGTAAACCTTCACACAATTTCCAAGAAAAGCTCTTTTAAAAAAAAATTTTTTTATTTTTTCAAAGCAGGTGCTTATTTATGGTTCTTATTTAGCTTTAACTTTGTTGTTAAGTGCCATCAAATCATAGTGCCACTGTATAGGGTTTCCGAGGGGCAGCTCGTGTGTTTGAAGTACCCACCTTGTGGTTCACAGTCCAGTTCTTATCTTGCAGCACCACACCACGAGTCCAGGCTTACTTTAGAGTAAGGAAAAGGAGCCCATATTGGTTTATGAGTTGGACTGTTAATCACAAGGTTAATCACTAGAGTTCAAAACTACTAGTCCCTCTATGGGAAAAAGATGAGGCTTTCTGCTCCCATAAAGATTTACAGCCTTGGAAATCCAATACAGGATTGTTTTGACTTGGAACCAACTCGACAGTATACACAATCATCACCACTACCCATGTAAGAAAAGACTGGAAGCCTCTTCAATAATTTAAAAGCAAGTGAGAGTGCTAGAGATGAAGAATTTGTTGGAAGTAAGGGTTGGTTCAGTAGTTTCACAGTGAGGCAAATTTATATAATGTAAAACGGATTTTAAGCCAGAACAGCATTGCACCACTCATCGATGGTGGTGCCCTGCTCCAAGATGGCTAACAAATATGCTACTTTGAATGTGTGAGAGTCTCCATGATCCTGTCAATAATCCAGTCTTACAAATTAAGCTCCTGATAGGTCTCATTATACCCTCTTTCAAGCTTCCCAATCCAAGGCTTCAAATTATGAAAATTCAGGTTTGTTCTTGCTTAACTTCATTTGCCATGACAGAATTAATTTGAAGCTCTGCATTAAAGGGCAAATAGGAGTTGTCCATATGTTGGATGTTTCAGTTATGTAATGATGTAATCATTATTCATTTCATGATGTGATCTAGTTGTCCTTGTTTTCTCAAAGTGCCAATTTTGAAATTAAACGACCTGGTCTTTGGAACTTAACCTTGTGGAGAAGTGAAGAGTAGGTGTACTTTGTCCATATTTCATAGCTGCAGGATCAATTTCCAGAAATGGGATGGCTAAGTAGTAATTGTTAGGTGACATCTTGTCAGTTTCAACTCATAGCAACCCTGTATACAACAGAACAGTACTGCTTGGTCCTGTACCATCTTCAAAATTGTTGTCCGAGCCCCTTGTTGAAGCCTCTTTGTCAGTCCCTCTTCATTGAGGGTCTTTTTCAGCTAAGTTGTTGTTGTCATTAGGTGCCGTCAAGTAGGTTCCAACATGTAGCAACCCTGTATAGGGCTCCCAAGGAGCATCTGGTGAGCTTGAACCACCAACCTGATAGATCAAGCTGGCTTTGCAGTTCATTGCATTAACCCAGACCAAATTGCCCTCCCTAGAGCAATTAAGGACTGTTCTCCCCACCCCCCACCCCATTTATGTTATCCTTAGATAACACTAGTTTCTTATCAGACTTCTTGATCTTTGAGTTTCTGCTAGATGAAAACTTAGGTGTCTCATCATTATTCTGTACTTGGCCCAATTTTCTGTTGACTTATTGATTTTATTTTTCCTCCACGTTGATTTGTTAGACAGTCCAGTATAATAAAGGAATTATCCTTTTGTGATATGTGCTGCAGATATTTTTTTCCTCTAAATGTGTTAGTGTCTTTTTAACAATTGTTGTTGTTGTTAAGTGCCTTTGAGTCGGGTCCAACCCATAGTGACCCTGTACAGGGTTTCCGAGGGTGTAAATTCTTTACGGGAGTAGAAAGCCTCATCTTTCTCCCGCGGAGCGGCTGGTAGTTTCGAACCGCTGACCTTAAGGTTCGCAGCCCGATTCGTAACCACTACGCTACCAGAGCTCCATTTAGGGTGCTTATATTCCAACTAGAGTTTTTATTTATTGTTCAAATTTATTCATTTAAAAATAAAAAGAGCAAAAAACATTACATACTTAGAGAACCCTTCAAGGTAAGATGCTAGTCTGATGCCCCATCACCCCCTCATACTTTGTTGTGTGTTTCCTACAAACAAATATGTTGTTGTTAAGTGCTGTTGAGTCAATTCCAAACCATAGTGACCCTGTATAGGGTTTCCAAGGAGCAGCTGGTGAGCTTGAACCGCTGATCTTACAGTTCAGATGGCTTTGCAGTCTGGCGCATTAACCCACAGCACCACACCATGACTCCACAAACAAATATAGTCTCCTAAATAACTGGTGTGGCGCTGTGGTTTATTGCACCAGACTGCAAAGCCGTTTGAACTGCAAGGTCAGCATTAAAGCTTACCAGTCACTTCTCGGAAACCCTATACAGGGTCACTATGGGTCGGAACCAACTCGACAGCACTTAACAACAAATAACCATATTACAGTTATCAAAGTTAGGAAGTTAATATTGACACATTACTAACATGTGATCTTTAGACTTCATTCATTTTTGCTAAGTGCCCTAATAGCAGTCTGCATTTAGTTGCTGTACTGAGAGCTGTTTAGTCCCTATCTTGGTGCTGCTATAACAGAAATGCCACAAATGGATGGCTTTAATAATAAAAATATTATTCTCTCACAGTTTGGAAAGCTAAATTTATATATAGTTCTGGCTCTAGGGGAAGGCTTTCTCTCTCTGTGTTGACTATATATGAAAGTCCTTGTCTCCATTCCTTTCGCTGACTCTGACTCCTCGTTCCAGTCTTCCTTGGTACCCCTCTTCTTTAACATTTCCTTACACCAAGCTACCTTCTATGTGGACCTTCTTCACCCATTTCAATTCAGTGCCCTTTTCCCTATCATTGTTTATTTGTTGTTGTTAGTTACAATCCAGTCAACTCTAACTAATGTATGTTGTATCTGTGTATGTTGTTACTGAGACGTCATCACAGAACTGTGTGCAGAGTAGAACTGCTCCATAGGGTTTTCATAGCTGTGACCTTTGGAAGCAAATTGCTAGGCACCTCTGGGTGGGTCTAAACAACCATTGATTGATTCAGCTAGTAGTTGACTGCTTAATCCTTTATGCTACCCAGGAACTTCCAACTCTGATGTCCCTTATCAGCCTGCCCTTCTCACTCCATATTGGTGGTGGTGGTGGTTTTGTGCCATGGAATCAGTTCCAACTCATAGCGACTCTGCACAGGGTTTCCGAGGCTGTAAATCTTTACTGAAGCAGAAAGCCTCATCTTTCTCCCACAGAACAGCTGGTAGTTTCGAACTGCTGACTTTGTGGTTCGCAGCCCGATTCATAACCACTACGCTACCAGAGCTCCTTTCACTCCATATAGGCTCTGACAATACTGCGCGCCTCCATCTTTCCACTCCACACATTTAAATATAAATACACCCATTCCTCACTTACCTACCTTAGGTTTCAAAGACCAGGCCATTGTGTTGTAAAAATTAACATATGTGAAAATAGAGGATGACCACATTATTACCTAACTGTGAAACAATTATTGAGAACAGTGACCCAGTCAAGTTGACACATGACCTTAACCATCTCAAGACTATGTTATTCTTAACTCACCTCTCAATGTTCATTACTGTCAGACATACATGGTTAATGTGCAAAGTAGTCTGATAGATTTTTTTACTGTGGTTGTAAATGCGAAATGTCGCATAATGAAATGGTCAATTATTGAGAAGTTGTTATTGTTGTTAAGTGCCGTTGAGTTTGTTTTGACTCATAGTGACCCTGTACAGAGTTTCCAAGGAGCAGCTGATGGGTTTGAACTACCAACTTTGTGGTTTACAGTCCAGATCTTATCCTACAGCACCACACCATGGCTACTGCTAGGCAATATAGTACTGAGAAGTAGGTGTTTATATCATAATTTATTTTGAAATTAGAAATTAAATAGAAACCCAGCATTTCCTTCAGATGTTTACCTAGTACTGCTATAACAGAACTACCACAAATGGATGACCTGAATACATTTATTTTCTCATAGTTTAGGGTTCAAGAAGTCTGAATTCAAGGTGCCTGTTTTAGAGGAAAGCTTTCTCTCTGCCACTGTGTCTCTCTCTCTCTCTCTCTCTC